CGGGGGGGGTAGGGGGGGTGGGCAAACGGCCGCTTACCCTTCTAGCGTGGGCACTCCCTCGTGCCTCCCCGTCTGCCGCCGGGGCAGGTGCCGCGCCCGCGGCTGCCTGGCGCCGTACCGCTGCCGCGAGCCCAGGTCGCGCTCCCGCCGGTTCTCCGACTCCCGGTTGTCCTCGGAGGGCAGGCCCGCACCGAACTCGAAGCCCTCGTCGAAAATCCCCAGAGCAAACTGGCCGTACCCGGGGGGGAAAGTAAACAGGTGTTGGTCCGCGTTCTGTGGGAGGGAGGCAGGCCCACACACGGTTAACAACCAAGCTGGCACCTTCTTTCCTTTTAAAACTATTCATCTCCAGCAAGTTCGTTTTTGAACCCTTCCCATCATGTTCTTTTTTTACTCCAATTTGTACTTGCCTGCTGTCGGTTCGTATGCCGGCTCAAGCTAAAGAATCCTGTACTGGTCAGAAGACAAGCTCCTCTGTCCTGCTCACCCATTAAGCCCTTCAGTGTTTCATATGTTGCAAGTTCTCCAGGGCCTTACAGAAAGGGAGAGACTCATCTCTCACTGACGTTGCAGCGAGCCCGCAGGGTCCCAGGAAGCTGCGAGAGTTGTCAGTCCGTCTAGGGCATGACACTGGCCAGCTACGGCTAATCCTATAGCTGCCTCTACCATCAGGAGAATTACAGTCAGCTAGTCACCTGGGCTCAGACGAAAGAATCCCAGTCACAGTCAGCTACAGACCTGCCTTAACCTGAGAAATTCCATGCAATTGATCATGCTCTTTTTTACAGCTTGACTGGCTAAAACCACAAAGGCACCACACAACACCACGCTGAGACATCCATTCTGCAGTGTCTTGTAAGTGACCTCCTTGAACATTGTCAGCATTAATGGATAAATACAACAGAACCATTTACTTTCAAAATACCGCCCTTCCCAACATGTTTAACTTGGATTTTTATCTGCATGCTCAAGGGAGACAAAAAGGAAAATTTAATTAAAATAACCTAAACCAATTTTTTTCTCCTCGGTTTTAAAACCAAATTTACGATACCAATCTATAAACCAGAAACAGAAGCTCTCAAGTCAAAGCAGAACATTTGATTGTAATTTCCCATTGTTTCATCAGACAACACAGAGGCAGCATTGTACCACCTTGTCTCTCTTCCACACCAGGATGAATTCCCTAAAGGTTCCCCAGACTTGACTTTCAGCTCAAATGAACAAAGACTCCTAATGTCAACCTCTCAGACAGCCGATATCTGCTCAGACACGCCACAAACAGAAAACAAGCCGCTCACAAACCTCAAATAGGTGCCGGTTCTCATCGCTGGTAGAGGTGGTGGATGTTGATCCATTTTCAGTGCTGGTCAGACAGACACATCGAGAGGAAATTGAGAAAAAGAAAGAGAGCTGAGGCCTGAAACCTCAGCGTAGCACATTCTTTCCTACTGTCACAGCCATTTCACCCCCTTCCAAAAAAAATAAAAAATTTGGAAAAAAGGGCGCCTTAACACCAGAGGGACGCAGTAAAGCACGAGATCGATAGGGGCAAAACCAGATTAGCACTTCTACCAAGAAAGGATTTTGAACTTCAGAATTAAAAACGTAATTATTTCTGGACAAAGAGGTGCAGGCCCCAAGAGGAATATGCGGTTGTATATCAGCAGGGCTTCTTCACATGCTTCCAGAACCACACAGGCAGCTCAGGGCAAACTGGTCAGCACTACCGCTTTGCAGCTACAGGGGCTTGGGTTCGATTCCAGATTAGGACGCCTGTCTCTGTCGAGACTGGAGTTTTCTTCCCAGTTTCTCGTGGGCTGTTACTGCGATCGCCAGTTTCCTCCCACCTCCCATCCAGACTGAAGAGAGAGCCAAGAGACCTAAATAGCACGAAGGGAAGAATGGACTCCTCTTATCTGTGGCCATGCTGATGCTCCAGCACAAAAGACCACCTGACTCCGCATCATGACTCATGCAATGCATGGTGAGGATCTGAAGTGGGGTGACGAGCCTGCACACATCACGTTAGCAAAGCAGGAGATTTACATTCTGTGCGTCAGCAGTGCAGGAAAAAACATGTTACAGTAGGCACTGGTTCTGACCCACAGCAACAGCCATGCTCGGTTTTGTGGTCTGTGTACGAGCTAGAGCAAGGATACGTGGTTCTGGTACCAGAGGACCAGAATCCCGATTCTGTTAAAGTAATCACTCAATCATCAGCTGCTTCAAAACAGTTAAAATGTTTTTGAAAAACCAACGTCACAAGACCCTGCATTGTACCATCGGTGGGTATCAACAACGTTATAGAGGACGGTAAGACAATTCTCTAAAAGCTGGGTTGGGGAATTTTTTCCCCAACCAGCTCCTTCAATCAGAATATTGAATATTAAATTTATTAAACAGCTATTTGGGCAAGACAATGATTTTTCTTATTCATATGCAGGCTATACCAAGAGAGGGAAGACAAAAGCTTAATAACTAAAACCCTATAAAAGTTACAGATTTGTTTTGTGTGAAAATGACTGTGTGGCTCTATACTTCCATTTTGGTTCATTACTGTCCCTAGTTCACTCATACTACTCTACCCCAGCATCACATTAACTACAGACAGGTTGCTCAGGAAATTCTCCCCGTGTCTGAGTGCTGTGTGGCAAATAAGAGTTAGTATCCCCCCCCCGCTGGCCAACAGGAATACCTTTGCTCCTCTGGCAGTTCCTCAATGAACCCAGACTCACACCGTGGGCAGGTGTACTCCTGCAAGCAAAGAGGGAAGAAATTAGCAACAGATGCGGAGACACATTCGTTTGTCGGGTTACTCATTTATTTGCTTTTATACAAAGAGCAGTTTACATCTGCACCCATTTCTGCAGCTGGGTATTTTACTGGAGTCATTCGGGGGATGTGCTGAGCTCTGCACTACAATAACGGTGTTTCGCCTGAGATTTGAACCCACCACCTTTCACTTACGAGCCCAGGACCCCTTCGCCACACTGCTGCCTCATTTCAAAGAGATGTTCAATTGCAGCAGGTGCTGAGAGAATGGTATCTGGGGTTTCTGATGGACCCCGTTTCCTTGTAACCCTCACAGGGATTAATACAATCTAACCTAATAATAATAATGATAAAAATAATAATGGGGCGGAGCTGTGGCTCTGTGGCTAAGGATCTGTGCCTGTGGCTGGAAGGTTGCTGGTTCAAATCCTGTGGCTGGCAGAGGAATCCTACTCTGTTGGGCCCCTGAGCAAGGCCCTTAACCCTAACTGCTCCAGGGGTGCTGTACAATGGCTGACCCTGCGCTCTGACCCCCAGCTTCTCTCCCTGTCTGTGTGTCTGTGTCTCATGGAGAGCAAGCTGGGGTATGCGAAAAGACTAATTCCTAATCTGCACAGAGCCAGAGTGGGGTCTTTTTAGCTAACTCCCACCCCAGCCAATACGAGAATATCCAATACAACTGGAGCACCAGTACCATTCCAATATGAATCCAACAATGTTTTCAAGTTTAGATTCTGCCATTAAAGTGCTCCAAAAGACATAATTTTCCAATTCTATTCTGCAAAATCAGATTTGCACATCTACCAAGATCTCAATGTATAATCGTCTATTGAGGTGGACACACAAAAAGCAATATAGAAGTGAAAGAAAAAGTGTAATTATCTGGCTTTCTGCATGAATGGCTCCTTAAATGTGATCTGATCTTCATCTAAGTCGTAATAATAAACAAAGACAGTCTTATTTAACAAACAACACATCTCCTCTATTGGCAATAACCTCAACCAAACGCTTTCTGTAGCAGCTGATCAGACCCGCACAGTAGTTAGGAGGTATTTTGGCCCATTCCTCTATACAAAACGGATTCAGTTTAAGTATATTTTTGGGATGTCTTGCTTGAACGACCTGCTTTAGATGGGACTGACGTCAGGATTCTGACTTGGCCATTCTAAAATAAAGAATTTGTTCTGTTTGAGCCACTCTGTTGTTGGTTTATTTACAACTGTGCACCAACACTTTTACTGTAAATTAAAAAAATCGTTTTAGCAGGTGTGCTTCGATATCCGGTATGAAATGATTCCAATTCTAAACTTTCTTTTTTTCGTTCTTACTTTGGTGTCACCCAGCACCAGTTGTCAAGACCTTTCCTGAGAATGACTTCTCACACTCAACCCCAGTTCACGGACATAAAAAGCACTGTAAGTCTAGATGGCAGACCTGTCCTGTCACAGTCACTGCAGCAAGGGTCTCCTGCACTGACTCCAGGTGTTCACAGACAAATTAAAACTATTTCAATACCAATGAGGATGCCAGGAGTTTGTTGAGAGTATTGATGATGAATGGCCAATCACATTTTCCCAGCAGTAGGCAAACAAAAACAAAGGAAAAAAAAACAAAACAACGCCAGGTCCACATGAATAGGACCGTGTGGTGTTAAGGATCGTTCCAGAACCCGAGCCCACTGTTCCAAAAGTTAAACACACTGAATGGCACTTTCGGATAGATGTGGTCAGGTGCTTTTGTTCAACAGACCAGAGGGTTCACACAGCTTCAGAAAACATTCTAGTCTCAGGAACAGCAACACTGAACAGACCTGGGCAGTGTTTAGATTCAAAAAGGCTGGCAGTAAACACAGAATGGAACCCCTCCCCAGACAAAGGGGCAAGGGATTAGTTCAAGGGCATGCAAAAGCACAGACCTGATCAAGAACTGTAGCTTGAAAATACATTGTCAGAATATCACTTGCATATAATATATACCTAAATGCAAAGATCTGTTGCCAATCAAGTTCTTTGCTTTTCATTAAGAGCTTCAGAACAACTCTGGTGCAGTTCAGTGCTGTCACACATGTCTTATAATAAAGAACTGTAGCAGCCAGTAACTGGAGGTGGTGGCAATATGAAAAATGCAGGCTGTAGATTCCCAAGCCCAGAGCACACCGTGCTGATGTGCTCAGGAAAGGCAGCAGAATTTGTAGGACAGGTTTTTGGAGACTTTGTCTCAGGATTTTGTAAGCAAATGAATCACACTTAATGCAGCTGGCTTCAGTAACGCTAATAACAATAGGAGAAGCCTGAAACTTTGACAATTTATTTTAACAAAGCAAAAACGTACAAGTAAAACTAAGATTCCAACAAGCGCAGATCTTTTAAAGGAACAATTATGATCAAAGATAATGTGTTAAAATGTACATTCTTTTAACATAATTGCATTTACAGAATTTCATCTTGTTAGTGAAAATGACATGACTTGAATGAGATTCATCATAACCATGCCGGTAAATTATTCATGCATTATCTAATCAATAGAAAATGACAATCTTATTTAAGTACCATTTAAGTCAGCCACCCAGACTCGATAGTAATGACAGTACTTGAACACCGATCTCCTGATCTACCTCTAAAGACAAACGCACCGTAGTGCTCTAGGACAAATATACAGTAAGAGCTTGAAAAAGAAATACTTTGTCAGACGCAGAAGCCCGAAAGATTTCAAACAGCACACAGATTATCCAACTGAATAAAAAGGGTCTAAAGATTTTGGGGGACAGAACAAAAATAATTCGTGCAAATAAATAACTGTGTTCTGTAAAAAAAAAAATAGACGTAGAAGAGAAGATTCCAGAATTGAACCAAGTTTCGTTTTCACTCAAGCTCAAGACACGTCTCGGTCTCTCTTTGCAGGTTCCAAACCCCCAAGAGCGTCTCTTCCGACACACTTAACGTAAAAACAGCAGACGCACATATTTCGCACACACGCGTTTGTAAAAACAATCGCTTACTGCAAGACGAATTGTCCCCTGGGGATGAGGAGGACGGTCTCCCCGCTGTCTGTTCTAGATCTGTGTGAATTCAATATCACGCTGAAGGAACGAACTCGGCGGCACGGTGTTCGGGTCGACAAAACACGAGCGAAATAAAAGCTTCGCCTAATCGTCATGGCTTTAAGCTCCGCGTTTCATTTCGCCTCCAAGTCCGAAGCGTTGAAATGACACTCCGCACTGCTCGCATCGCTGCTGAAAAAGGCTGGGCTCGGCTCCTGGGCGCTCGTATTGTAGCACGACTCGCAGAACTGGAAACGGAGAGGCCTTGCGTACCGATTAAATCAGACGGCGCCGGGCAGCCACGGACACCGAAAACCGCCCGCTCCGGCGCCGGCTTTTCACATAACCCGACCGCCAGTCGTCGGCGTCTCGCTACCCCGTCCCACCCTCGACCACGGCTCTTACCGGGATGCGGGGGCTGATCTCTGCCGAGCACCGGTGACAGAAAAACCGGCCGGGCCGTGGGGGAGCTTCCGCCATCTTCCAGCTCTCTGCGAGACAGACACACACACCGAGACAGACCGAGTACGGACAGCCGGCGGGGACAAAGATCATTGACGGCAGGGGAGGAATTACGGAACGCGTTTCGGAGCTACGCTTTGCGCGGTCAGCAACATAGAGGTCTCAACAGGAAAGCAATACTCACCATCTCCAAAGAAGAGCCACGGTGAATGTCTATTTAACGTGCTAGACATCTTTGAATACACAAAAAGGAAATATAATTAAAGGAGTTTAAGTTTTTTTTTCGTCTTATGTATGATTCTTATTTGTTAATGGGCTCGTGTGGTGTTAAATCTGTTACGTATTGCGTCATGTTTTTTTTTTACCTGCCTGAAAACCCAATTTCCCATCGGGGACAATACAGGAATACAAAGTTATAATAAAGGAATAAAGTTATTTTAAAAAATCTGTAGGAAACAATTCATATTTGTCCCTGACAAAAATCAAAGCTTATAGCAGGTGAGAAAAAAGTTCGTGTCAGCCAGTGTAAGGATATTATACTGCCACGCTATTACTGTGAAGATCAATGGTTACATTTATTTTACATTTAGTTACCGATTTATTTTCAAACAGAACATTCTATCCTGTTTTAATATGCGTACAGGACAAGCCAAGCGGTTGGTTTATTTAGGAATTGAAAGTGGAGAATTAGACTTTAAATGGGGATTTAGAATTACTTTAGGGCTACCGCACTGGATCAAAATCCAGTAGGATCACTGCAATTAAATATTAATGCAGTAACTGATACCCGGTTCATACACCCCATGTAATCGTCTCTGTAACTCTGCGGTACATAACGTGTTCTGCCACCAGAGGGAGCCATCGCACCTGCTGGGAATGACCAGAACTGCACAGTAAAAAATGACATTTTATCTCCGTTTAACGGGATAACTGCACAAATACATCACTAACAATAGTTCGAAAGAGAATTTTGTGAGGAAGAAACGTAGGTAAAGGTAAACATCGTGTAAAGTTCAGTTGTAATCGAGGGCACAGCGAGGGCACCTTCCGGATGTTACCGGTGTGCTACCCAATTCCACACACCAGCTCTCAGTGGGGAGGAGAGCAGAGTGATGAAGCCAGTTCAGAGATGGGGATTATTAGGAGGCCATGATGGGTAAAGGCCAGGGGGGAATTTGGCCAGGATGCCGGGGTTACACCCCTACTCTTTTCGAGAAACATCCTGGGATTTTTAATGACCACAGAGAGTCAGGACTTCGGTTTTACTTCTCATCTGAAGGACGGCGCCTGTTAACAGTATAATGTCCCCGTCACTATACTGGGGCAATAGGACCCAAACAGACTGCAGGGTGAGCGCCCCCTGCTGGTCCCACTAACACCTCTTCCAGCAGCAGCCTCAGCTTTCCCAGGAGTCTCCCCTCCAGGTACTGACCAGGCTCACACCTGCTGGGCTCCAGTGGAGCTGCCAGCTGGGAGCTGCAGGGTGAGATGGCTGCTGGCGAATTGTTATATCACGGTCAGACTGGGCCTGTGCCCGTAACTCTTGACCAAAGCGCAGCGTCTTGAAACACTGGCGAGATCGAGGAACAGGACGGCTCTTTCCCGGGCTGCGCTTACGGGGTGGGTGCAGGCTGATCCCCGGAGTGGAAGGGGGGGGGAGATGCGAGAGCACAAACATGAATGCGAAATGACGTGTACTCAGAAACACTCGGCCGCCGGAGATCATTTTCAGATGTTCCGAGCCGTATGTACGATATTGCGCTCTGGGTGATCTGTAGTGTCCCGTGCGGAAACGTGGCTGAACCGGGGCCGGCTCCGTGCACCGGCCGCGAGCGGGTGGCCAGTGTCCCCCGAGCCGCGGCCTTCGACCCCCGTAAAAAAAAACAACCCGTTTTGAGGCTCGAGATGGAACAGCGGTGGCCCAGGTGAAGGGCGCGTGTTTGCACGCTGTGCACAATCTGTTTACACGCCCAGAAGATCGCTAACAAAGAGTTAGGGAACATTGTTTGAGGTTTTTCTCTCCCGTAATAAGTAGATGTCGGTGGATATCGTTGTAAAACGCTGAAAAGAATGATTCTAGACCTTAGTTTGTCGGCCCCCTGTGCGCCGGCCCGCAGGGTCACCTGAGCAATGCTGACCGGTCCGTAACCTGACTGTGGACGGCGACCTTAAGAGAGCTGGTCCCTAGTACAGAAACGGTGGAGAAACACTTAATTGAACATCCCCCTCCCCTTTAACCCGAGGTTCAACAATCCGGTCACACCGCACGCGTGGGGGGTGCACGCGTGACCGCGGGTCTCCGCGCTCGCTCACCTCGGCGTGGGATGGGCGCAGCGCCCCCGGGGGCGGAATGCGACGCGCATCCCCCGGCAGCGGCCGGACATCCCGTTCATCATCTCCGGGCGGGAGCTGCAGCGCCGAGCGGTTTCGCGGGCCACCCGGTCTCTCACCAGCCTTATCTTCGAGATAATCGCGCCGGGCCTCATTAAACCCCAAACAAGCGACGGGGCGACCGCAAACTCGCCAACAGCACCAGGCCGGATGTTTTGTTAAACTCTGGCTTCGTCTGAGCAGTAGCAGAGCGGGGCTCCGTTGGCAGCGGGTGTCTGCCCAGGCCGGGGGCTTGTCCGGCGGGTAATACGCGCTTGTGAGGGTCTCAGAGTGGGGAGCTGAGGCAGGGGCTCGACTGTGCAGGCTCTTCAGTTTGTGTGGGGGAATAAGAAGGAGGTATATGAGGTTGAGAAGGGGGACATCTGGAGGAAGGTCAGATCTGTGCTGGAGCCCTGGGTTCGGTTCCAGACCTGAAGTGCTGTCTGTGTGGAGTTTGCATGTTCTCCCTCAGTCTAAAGATATGCTGGCAGGTTAATTGGCTTTCGGGAAAGATGGCCCAGGGTGTGAGTGTGTGTCTTTGTGTGCCCTGCAGGTACTGGTGTCCTGGCCAGGGTGTGTGTAAGGGCCCCTGAGCAAGGCCCTTCACCCCAACTGCTCCAGGGGCGCTGTATAAATGTCTGACCCTGCGCTCTGACCCCCAGCTTCTCTCCCTGTCTGTGTGTCTCATGGAGAAATACAAGAAATTGTATAGGGCCAATAAAGCGATCTGATCTTATCTTAACGTTAACCCCCTACATCCCCCAGGAATAAGGAGGAACAACTAACGCGCCGTTCCATAGTACACCACAGATAGGTACCGCACAGGGGGGGGGGGGGGGGGGGAACAGGCTGCCCAGCCCTGTGGTTGAAGCCGATACCCTGGCTTCTCTCCAGACACA